GGAACCCGCCGGGGGAGGAGCATTGAAGGGGCTCGGGGGCGGGGTGTCCCTGCCAGGGAAGCCCTGAGGGGGAGGGCGGTGGTTTTGAGGTAGGGTTTTGGGGAGAGGAAGCCGGAGCCATTTCCTGCCTTCAGCAAAGACCCTCCTCAGAGGGCCTCCCCCACCAGTTGCCCAATGGTGACACTCACCTCCGCCCCCCACCCCCAACCCCGCGGCTGGCTCCTATTTCACCAGCTCCCGCAGTGACAGCTGGAGGGCCCAGGAGATGAAGTTCCCGACTCCCCACCCTGGTCTTCACTCCCCACCCTCTGCGCAGAGAATCGATTGATTCCTGAAGTCCCCAGGCAAGGGCACTGTGGGGTGGGGAGCACTGGAGGGCTGGGCCTGGTTCAGAGACCCGCCAGGTGAGGGTGGGGGTGCCGCTGATTTCTAGAGCCCACCAGAGCTTGCAGAAATGGCTTCAAGGCCTTCTCCTCGGCATTCAAAGATCTCTTTGCTTTCTGAAACCCATCTTCCCTCTTTCCCCTCTACCAGTACTTGGGGACATCACCTTTGGAGCTCCTGGGGATAGCTGATGGGGAGAGGTTGGGCAGAGCCAGGGCCCAGGTGGAGGCTATCCAGAGAAGAATGTGAACAAGGATGTGTTCTCTCCTTAGGGTCCGTGGCCTGCTCCCCGGAGGAGCTACCCTGGGTTGCCATGAGAGAGACCTTTGAGGCCCTCAGCTCCCTGGGTGAGCTAGCAGCACTCGAGGAACTTGGGTGGTGGGAGGCAGGATTCGGGGGCATGCTAGGCCCGCTGCGTCCCTACAGTTCAGACTGCATTCCTGAGACCCCAGGGACCAGTGGGGGCCTTTAGGGCAGCATCCTTTTCCGTTTTACCAGGGTATATTTGAATGCCTGGCCCTGTGGAGGTTGTGTGGGACTGCGTGCATACATGTGCGCTCAACAGAGCACAGATCTTTAGACCTATTATCTCTTCCTTCACCTGCCCTTGACTCAATGCAAAGGGGCTGAGGTGGATACCTGGCCAGGCTGCTGGGGAGCCTGTCTATCCCCTGTCTTGCTGGCTAGAGACCCTACCTTCCTGGGCAAGTTGGAAAAAGCCCCTTGGCTTTTTGGGGAAGGGGGAGAGCCCCTTTCTTTGTCTCCTGTTCTGTACTGAATGTTTTACCTAGTCCTATCCTTCCACCTGTAACAGGGTTCTCTGTGGGACAGCCTGAGATGGCCCCCCAAAGTGAGCCTGGGGAAGGGTCCCATAATACCCAGGAGCAGATGTCCCCTCCCAGGGAAGACAGCGTGCTGGGCACATGCTCAGGTAAGTAGGTGGGGGACCATGAACAGTGGCTCAGGTAGAATCTACCTTTCCTTCTTCAAGTGCCAGGGTGCTATTCTCGTTATTTGGAAAACCTCAGTGACCAAATAGACAAAGATCCCTGCCTTCAGGGAGCTTATCCTAATGAGGCCAGAGAGTCAGCAAATATAAAAATAAGTGTACTTATAAAGTACAGCACACATATAGCACATATCAGAAGGGGATAAGTGCTGGGGGGGGGAGGGAGCCTGAGGTGGGGGTGGGGCAGGCTGCAGGATTAAATAGTGAGAGTGAGAGGAGGCCCCACTGGGAAGTGAGATTTGAGCAAGATTTGGAAGAGGTGAGGGAGGTGGCTGCCTAAAGCAGGCCTGTGTCTGGCTTTTTGACATTCTGATCTTCTGCAATGATTTGCCTGGAACTCGGGTCCATCTGGTGGGTCTGCGGCCCTCCTCCTAAGAGTCTCCTGTAAGCCTCAGGGTAGTGACCTTTCCTTGCTTCCACTATCTCACACACATATTCCAGAAGCTCCTCACAGCTGTGGCTCTTGCAACCCGCACAGCCTTTGCAGCTGCTGCAGCTGCCCTGCTTGGAGGAACCAGAGGCTGCCCCCCCCCTCCCCGCTCCCTTCCCTGGGGCAGCTGGGAATTCAGTCCCTGCAGGTAGGATGTGGGACACAATCCTGCCAGTCAGGCTGGGACTGGGGTTTCAAAAGCCCCCCCTTGATAGCACCAGTGGGGACCTCTGTCCATCTGTGATGTCTCTGGAGTCCTTGAGGTGGCCTGTTCTCTGCCAGGGCACGAGGCCCCCAGACCAGAGGAAGGTGCCCAAACTGAAGAAGCTGAAGCTCCCTGCAGAGGAGGCCAGGCATGTGCACCACAGAAGGCTGAGCCCCCGAGCTCCTGCCCAGGTGAGTCCTCCCACTTCTCGAGCCCGCCAGGGGCCCAGGCAGAGGGGACAGGGGACTTGTAAACTCCCGGGCTGGTCTCTGATGAGGCGGCCACTCCAGCCCCTTCCAACCTAAGACGAATTAGTTCCTGGCACCTTTCTGCTGCAGAGCCTCAGCCCCCAGAGAGAGGTCCACATCACAGACAACAGGAATCAGCGAGGCTGGTCACCCAGAGAAACTGACCTTCGCCTCAACATCCTCCGGAAGTCTTAACTTGCCCTCTTACCTCCCCCTAAGTGCCTACTTGTGGATGACTTAAATTACCGTTCACTTGAAGACATTGTCCCGGACAGGCTCCTTCCCCCAAATCTCCACGGATCTCAGTGGACCCAAATGCTCCAAATATGTTGTCCCGGAGTCATCCCCCCATACCCAGGGCGATCAAACAGCTGATTCTCTCTCCACAATACTGCCATCACGCCCTTCCGCCACCACCAAACTTATCGCCTTCCGCCTGAGTGATGTCCTTTATTCCATATTCCAGGGGTTTCTCTAGTGCCTACTAGGTCTAGGCTGTGTTAGGCAGAAGGCAAGGAGACTGCCTGTAGGCTGACACAGACCTGGTTTGAATCCTTGCTCCACATTTACTACCCGGTGATCTTAGATAGGCTACTTCACCTCCAGCCTGTTTGTTCACCTGTAAGCAGGGAAAAGAGTAACTTCGTGGCTGGTGAACAGCATATAGACAGTGTGTCATCTATAGTTGGCATTCGATAAATGGTGGCAATCCTCGCTTTTGTTAGCCACGTAAAGACACGGAACACAAGACGTCTGCCTTTCGGAAGCTACAATCTAGTTGAGATGACACTAATATGAACTAGAATAAAGGATTAAACAAATAACAATAAAGCCAGATCACAAGGAAGTGTAACAGCACAAGGAACTTATAACAATAAGTGCTATAGGTGTTTACGTAAGAGATCCTCGTGCGTTGGTTTGTCAAAGATTTTGTTGATTTGTGCTACATTTTGAGGGAGGTGTAGGCTAGACTTCAGCTCTGATGGGGGTGGGGTAGAGGATGGGAAAACATTCTAGGCTGAGAAGAGACTTTAACACAGAAAAGGTGACGCGTGGCTGGGATTTGAGCAGACCTGCCTGGCTGCCGGGGAGGGTTTACGTGTGGGGGTAGTGAGAAAGTTGGACTGGGGGCGGGGGGTGGGAGGTGAAGCTCAGAAACAACAGAGAGCTCTTGATGGTTCTTGAGTAGAAGAGTGGCATAATGAAAACGAAAGCAATATCACAATAGGATAAATAGTTGTTTGGAAAGGATGGATCCGTGAAAGACACTGGGAGGAAATCTAATTGGCAGTTCATGTGTAATGTAACCAGTGCTCAGGCTATTACAGACCTTCAGAGCCAGACAGGAACTCAGATCATCTGGTTCAATGGTTCTTAAACAAGAATCACTTAGGGAGCTTTATTTATTAGTATTTTTTTTTTAATGTTTATTTATTTATTTTTGAGAGAGGGCGTGAGCGGGGGAGGGGCAGAGACAGAAGGAGACAGAATCCAAAGCAGGCTCCAGGCTCTGAGCTGCCAGCACAGAGCCCCACACAGGGCTCCATCCCACGTACTGTGAGATCATGTCCTGAGCCGAAGTCAGACACTTAACCGACTGAGCCACCCAGGGCCCCCCACGTTGCGAGCTTTAAAGAAAGAGAACAGATTCATGCACCCTGCTCCCGTGGATGCATTTTGTAAAAGTCCCCAGGAGATTATTAGAAACCACGAACCAGTACAACCCTTATGCTTAAGCAAACTAGTACACCGAGCTCAAAGAGGTAACAGAGGTAAGTTAACCAAGGTCACACTAATGACTAGTGGCAGAAGAGAACCCAAGTAGACACTCCCAATCTGGGCCCTGAGCTCTTTTCTCTTGGCTGGACCATTGCAGTGCCCAAGAGAGGCAAAGTTCCAGTGGGACTCACCTCAAACCTGCTACCCCAGAGGGCCCCCCCCCCTTGCTTCTCCAGAGGTTGGCACTCTTCTCTGGTTCCCCAACTCCTGTAAACTCCATCCCCTTCGTCCTAAACGGGGGCTTTCCCACCTGGCCCCAGAGGCAAGAATGGAGTTAGAGGCAGGGGGAGCCTTGAGAAGCAAGAGGAAGGCAGACAGAGCTCCTCAGTGGCCACTGAAAGGGAGAGATCAAGGGAGGCTCCAAGGTGAGAGCTGAGCTTCCAAGGTTCCAACACCAGCGACTGGGAGAACAAGGCTGTAGTCCCGATGGCAAAGTCAAAGTCACCGGGGTAGGTCTGAGAAGGTCAGCTGTTTGGTGATAAGCCTGCTGAGCTGCAGCCAATTTGCAGGACCCCAAAGGGGGCTGGGGCTGCTCAGCTGATGGGAGACTGTGGTTCTAGAAAGGAGTGGAAGGTCTGGGGTAGCCAACGCAAGCAGATGACCCCAGTGTGAAGCCTAAGGCCTGAACTTTGAGCAACATTTATATTCAGGGGGCACAAGAGTAAGCAGTGCCTTCTGCAGGGACAGGGGAAACTCCTCAACCACATGGAGACCTAGGAGAAAGCTCCCAGGACGGGGTGGGGGACTGGAGTACCAGCGTCCCTGGCTGCAGAGAACCAAGGACGAGGACTGAAGGGTGACCTTCGGATGTGGTCGTTCCCTAAAAGTAGAGTGGAGAGAACAGAAGCCAGGTTTCTGGCACCAGAAGTGCTGGAGCTTCTGGGGCTTCTGGGGCTCCAGAAGTGGTGGTCTTATTGGCAAAAAAAAAAAAAAAAAAAA